CATTTCAATATTCCCCTAACTATGGGGTCGATCATCGATCTAGACGTGGCACCTAAACGCCACTCCCTGTCCAGATTGACTGGGTATAAATCTCTGGGTAATCGCTTTCAATAAGGACTTACTCGGTTCTCAACTTTTCTCTTGCAAGATAGATCACAAATGGTCCTACTCAGAGGACACTGAACGAAAACATGTAGCGAGAATACTGCTATAGACGCTAACTAAATCATAAATTGGAAACTCACAACAAAGAGCTTCTAGAGATACAACTGAACTCCCTACTACTAGAGTTCGATATATAATCAAAGGTGGATAAAACCTAACCCCAAATATGAGCAATACATATCTCAAGTATTCAACGATACTTATAGAAGAACATACCTTTAAGCAGTGCGGCATGACGAAGACGAGTGGTCAAACACAAGATCAATTAACATAAGCACTTAATCACATATAAACCAGTCTACAGAAACGCAGACTGGCTCTGATACCAAACTGTAACGCCCCAAAATTTTTGCAAGACAATTCCAGATTTATCCAAAAATCTTGTTTTAAAATTTCGAAGAAAAACCATTTATCGATTTTATAAAACATTGGCGCTACTCGAGAACATTTCAAAGTTAAACACATAATCAGCATAAAGGAAACGAGAATATTCAACATAATTCAAGTTGATAAAAATAATCCACATGGTTTAACAGTTTAACCAATCCCAAAGGCAATAGGGAAAATGACGAAGTCTGATAATCTCAACATAATTATCAAAGTAAGCGGAAGCAATATAAAGTAATAATGTTTGACCACCCACTCTTCTTCAGTCTCGTCATGCCCAACACTTGCTTAACCTGCATCAATGAAGAGCAGGTGGGGATGAGCACAAATAATAACGAGGTGCTCACCACTATGCATAACATATTGGTAAGAAACCTATACTAGAGTCATATGCGAGTACATGGCCAAAAGACATAATACACCACTCTCATACTCATCACTATACTCATGTGCACACCTATCATAAGCCGCCAGGGGTAAGCCCAAACTCGTCAGCGGGAGTACAGTCGTGCCGAGGTTCAACATCAACGGTCACGGCCCATCAACTAGGCTAAAATGAGTCAACCCACCATAAGGTTGGAGATCGCCCACCACTAGGCACCGTCTCATGACTCACACATACATTCATAGACATAACGTATAAAAATCTTACCTCAAATATAGCATAGCATATTTTAGATTAAAACCCACCTGGATACCGGAATGCAGCCAACACAAGCAGTTGAAGAAATAACGGTAAAAGTTCAGCTCGATGAACCTACACCAATTATGATAGTCCTATCAACAGACTATTCAGCACAAAACAACACACAAGCAACACGTACTTAGCCGAAACCATATCGACTAAGTGACTCGTGGATTCCTTGACCGAGTTAAGTACTTTGGAGTGACTACTAAACCTGAACACAACTCAGATATCTCAGATAATACACATACATCATGCCAACATCAATATAATCCAACCCGAACCTAAACAATGAACAACCGGGCATTAAGACACCAAAATAAATAAAATTCAGAATCTAGAGTTAGACTCAGCCAACCAACCTGAAACTTTACCATATTACAGGGTATATAAAAACACATAACCTCACCAAGCTTCAGCTCAAAATTCATTCGGGAGCATTTTTAAATATTTAAAGCAAAACAGTGTAAAAATCCGATGTTTAATAGTTCATATAGCTACATTTTGAATTTTAATCCAAAATTTTGACACAAAACAGAATACCACACAATTACATACTCCTCAAAGTTTCAGCTCAAAACTGCAAGTGTACGATTTTTAATGAATTTTACAAGATTCTGACCAGAAACCGATTTATATAATTAAAATAGTTACAGGTGGAGTTTCGACTTGAAAATTTTACACGACTTACAAAATTATCACAGCAGATCACATAAAAAATTTCACAGCAATCGGACAACCACACGATTTTTCATTAATTAATTACGATTCAGCAGCACGCTCGGTTTGTAAAAATCATAACTCGCAGTATATACATCGAAACGACTCCAAACTTGAACTAACAGCTCAAGGACGACTCCAACTACTTAGAACTCCAGGAATTCCACGAATATTACTAATCGAAACTCAGTTCAACGATAAACCAAAGTGACGGCAATCACCTTGATATCCAAAACACATATAAATTCAATATACGGCACAATAACATATCCAAGGCACGTAATCAACTGGTAATCCACACGATCAGCACATTGACACGCAATCAATCACAATAATACAATCATGAAATTTAACGATATGAGGTTCGAGCCTAGGTACCGCTCTCGGGAATCGATTGAAAAACGAAACGAGGGAGGTCGTCGAGGGTGCACAACGGGGCTCGACGGCTCACGCTCGGCTCACTGGTGGTTGATGGAGACGATCGCGTGACGATGAGTGACTTCACGCGAGGGCAGCAAGGCAGCAGTCGGTGGTGGAGGTTGATGGCGGCAACGAGCAGAGGTCAACGACGAGAGTCGGCGATGAGGGCAGCTTTTTCGAACTCAGGACGGAACACACGCACTGAAGGGGAAGTACGGTGGCAGCTCGGCGTCGCGAGGGTCTCCTTTAGCCGCAGACAGGGCTATTCGAACACGGACGGAGGTGCAGCGAGGATGAAGGCGGCGTTAATGGCGGCTCGGCGTCCTGAACTCGTCGGCTTCGTTTAACACTCCGACGGAATCCGAC